TGTTTACAATCAATGAATTATATTAAAGATGCAGTGGGCAGTATACTTACTGTATTCTTAGAGTTAGATATAACAAGTTAGTTTTCTCATCATTACATAACCTGCCTTTAAAGCTGCCACAGTTAATTAAGTTATGGACCATTTATTTCTGTTGCTCCCCCGGAAATAGCAAGACTAACTATTAAATTGCTTCAGTAGAGATTGCTGCCCAAGTAGATAAGAAAAGTAATATGTTCGACACCTCCTTGACATGTGCAGTTTATCTAGTGCTTCTCTGTTCTCCAAAACTCACTTTCAGATATCAATTAGATCAGGAATACTGGCATACAGTGTTCAAAAGCAAATACACATGTTAGTAACTTGAGGTCTGCTACACGATCTCTGTTGTGGCTATCCTTCCTGTAGTCGGCTCAGCACCTGGAAGGATTTGGTTACTTAGCTGTTCTATGAATAATTTGATATAACATTCATCTTTCATATGGTGGTTACAAACAATACAAAAATACAGTCCAGGAATATCAGGCATATGGTGGTTACAAACAATACAAAAATACAGTCCAGGAATATGAGGCATATGGTCTATTTAAAGAATTTCTTCACATCGCAGCCAATGAGAGTGCATTATAAACCACAAACACACACAAAAAAAGTGAATAAAAAGTTTTGTGCATAATAATAATACAAGAAACATAAATTTAAATTTTACTCTTCCCTCAAAATGTTTAATTTGTAAATTCCCAGCCCAGTGTTATAACAACACAGATGTTACTACAAAGACAGGGGTAACCCCCCCCCCATGAGGATGCAATTACCTTTTTATAGTAATATAAAAAAAACTGCTTTTGAAAAAAGAGAGTTTATAAGATTATCATAAATTCCACATAACAGTTAGTTTCTCTATAACTTAATAAAACAAAACATAATAACAACAAAAAAACTATCTGATGGACCTGGTCTAAATTTATCCCCTGTAAAATCCTCCAAAATTTAAATTAATTCTGCTTCTGGGATGAGCTTAAACTCAACTAACTTGTTAACAGTTCAATAATTTGAATAATAATAAAAAATAAACATATTTCTAACATTAAAAGAAAAGACTGCTATAATCAGTAGCTAAATTACCAATAGCAGTCACTCAACGAGAGATGCCATAAAAGCATGAAAAAACTTCAGAATAACATTAATTGAGTTGACCCACAGGCAGTGTTCCGTTTAATCCGCACGGCCACACAACAAATAATTAAATGCTTTGCACATCTTCAGTAATGGTGACGAGTCTTAACACACTGACAACGTTAAGGACCATGTCAGTCGATAGGCCTAAAGTCCAAATAACCAACTGGTAGCATGGCAAAGCAGCCTAATGATTCAATAGGGTCGATGGTCTAAAAATACCCCCCCCCCAAATAAAATCAACAACAAACATACATAAAAGAAAATGGTAGCACACATCCACACATTGCCTTGATGCTGGTTTACATGAAAAAATTCCTTCTGCACACGGACTGACAAATTTAAAGGGAACACTACCCACAGGCATATCTCTTTTACACGAAAGTATAAGAGGGAAATTAACCTTGAATCTTAAATAAATTTTTATAATTGAAAGATTGACATGTTTATACCTGCCACTAATGGAGTTCTGTTTATTATAGCATTCACATTTATGTTCACGATTACACTTATAAATTATTCTTTGAATTTTATTCACAGTGAAGAGCTGATGATTTTGCATTGTGCTATAGAATCTACAGTACGGTAACTGTTTGTATGTGTGTGTTGTGCCTTAGAACCTATGGCATACATGAATCTTATTTCCCTACTAACTGGACTACCCATCCCCTGGATGGAAGTTGTGTAAATTCATGATTAATGAAAGATTATCTTAGGACAGGAAAAGTTGCTTCCCAATATGTAATTGTAAAAAATACAAAAATGCCCATAAAATCTGCAAAACACAAAATGTGAAACTGTAAATTTGCAAGTATCTCTGCATGGATCCAACAAACCTTCATGCCAAATTGGTGAAGATCCATCAACAGGGAACGAAGTAGTGGTACAAAAGGAAAAACACACCTATAAAAAACATAAAACTAAAAATTTGTATGCATCTTCCCCATGGACCCAATGAACCTCCATACCAAATTTGGTGAAATCCATCCACAGGAGGTGGGGTACTGTTTAAAAACACAAAAATGGAAATATTTGTGTATCTCCCGCATGGCCCAATTAACCTACATACCAAATTTGGTGAACATCCACCTACAG